CCTTTAAATAGCTCGGTATTTTGGCAGTACTACACGAGGGTTTTGCCTAAACCCAAATATTGTTACGCTGGCTTCTTTTCCAGATGTTGGTGGATGACATTGGTGATGTGACAATTACAAATGATGGTGCCACCATTCTGAGGATGTTAGAGGTCGAACATCCAGCTGCTAAGGTGAAGGATTTACAATTAGATGATCATGCATAAATTTTTGGTCATAATCACATGTTTATGCATGATCAGAAGGGGTGTCTGAGAAAAATGAACAATTATTAATCTCCCGGGTTCTTGTTATACTTTTTGATGCGACAGGTTCTTGTGGAGTTAGCTGAGCTTCAGGACAAGGAAGTTGGAGATGGAACTACATCGGTTGTTATCGTCGCTGCTGAGTTGCTGAAGGTTATTCCGATTGATTTTATGTTTCTAGCAATCCATTTACATATTACTATTGATTATCAAAAAATGCTGTGAAGATTTCCACACTAGGTGACTGCTTGATTACTGATGGTCTAATATTTCCATTTGCAGAGAGCGAATGATCTGGTCAGGAATAAGATACATCCAACATCTATAATCAGTGGATACAGGGTAAGATGTCATTTTCATACGATGTGGTTTGCAGTATAAACTTTATCCTATCCTAATGTGTTTATGTATCCCCATTGATGTGAGCAGCTAGCGATGAGAGAAGCTTGCAAATACATTGACGAGAAGTTGGCGACCAAGGTCAGCCCTGATTTCCTGATTTGTTCAGCTTTATCCTCTGACTGTTTAGTTTCTGAGCATATTGTACCTCGATAATTGCAGTCTATGAAAGGCTTTTGTGTATTACTTCTTGTGTGTGTTCTCCAGTTTGGGTGCATATAATTCTTTTCAATATTTTAACGTTTTATTTTTGCATCGCCTAGGTTGATAAGCTCGGCAAAACCTCTCTGGTGAACTGTGCAAAGACCAGCATGTCCTCCAAGTTGATATCTGGTGACAGTGATTTCTTTGCAGATTTGGTATGCTTCTAATCCTTCCTACCTGAGTTTTTATCTTGAACTGCCTGCTTTCGGTTTAATCTCGTTGGTAATTGACGTTTTTCTTTTGACATTGCTACCATCAATCTCTGCCTTATCTGCTTAAGTTTAGCAGCGTGTTTCAAGCTATCTTTGGTTTGTAAAACGAGGAAATCAGAGGAATGTCTCTTGTAGTGAAATCGCAATGGTGATTGCACATGATTGATTTGTCATGGTTACATTTATCTTGAAGGTCGTAGATGCTGTTCAAGCGGTGAAGATGACAAATGCTCGAGGTGAAATAAGATACCCTATCAAGGTCTGTTCCTTGTGGAGTTCCTTTGATGTGTATCTGGAGCAATGATGATAATTTTAACACTTAAATCGTTCTTCCTCCCACTGTTTAGGGCATCAATATTCTGAAAGCTCATGGACAAAGCGCAAAAGATAGCTACTTGTTAAATGGATATGCGCTCAACACTGGCCGTGCTGCACAAGGGATGCCTTTACGAGTTTCTCCAGCGAAGATTGCTTGCCTTGACTTTAATCTGCAGAAGACAAAAATGCAACTGGGTGTCCAGGTGGTTGTCACTGATCCAAGGGAACTTGAAAGGATTCGCCAAAGGTAAAGATGTCTGTTTTACACTTAAAAAGCTATACAAATTCACTAGATCATTTTATGCACCCTGTATGCACACTTTGACTGGTTAGTTTTATGCTTCTATGATTCTATCTTCTAAATGTAATTGCTGATTAACTTGAGTAGTGAAAGGAAGAGTTTGTTTACTGATAATGCATCTTTTTTATGTGTATGTATAAATCTATCCACTTCTGATATTTTTGTTGTTATCTCTTTTGAATATATATTTTGTGCTGATATATTGGTTAAACGTGTTTTTTTTTACAGAGAAGCTGATACAACAAAGGAACGGATAGAGAAACTTCTGAAAGCCGGGGCTAATGTAATTCTGACGACAAAAGGGATTGATGACATGGCTCTTAAAGTGAGTTTGATTACTATTTTTCTCTATTTTTGTGCTTACATTAGCTCAATCATGTTCACTGGAGATTATGATTTATGGGGTTCCTTTGACATCTTTTTCAGTACTTTGTGGAGGCCGGAGCTATCGCTGTTAGACGTGTGCGCAAAGATGACATGCGACATGTTGCAAAGGCAACAGGAGCAACTCTGGTAATTCCCAGCTAACACTTATTCGACATTATAATTATAAGACCTGGGTTTCCGATAGAAGTGGTAATTCAAAAAGAAGGAGCAGTGCGAACTGATTGATGTAATATCTTTGCTTGTCAGGTCACCACTTTTGCGGACATGGAAGGGGAGGAGACATTCGATCCATCACACCTCGGGTATGCAGAGGAAGTTGTGGAGGAGAAAATTGCAGACGACGATGTCATATTGATAAAGGGAACCAAGACAACTAGTGCGGTACATCAACTGAGATCTTCCCTAGAAAATATAATATGATGATTGTATCAACCTCTTCAACATATCTTCAGTTTGAATGTTTTCTCTCTCTCCTAAGTTAAGACAAACTCTTTCTTTATCTTTACAACGATTAGGTTTCGTTGATCCTAAGAGGAGCAAACGACTACATGCTTGACGAGATGGAGAGAGCGCTCCACGACGCCTTGTGCATTGTCAAGAGGACCCTTGAATCGAACACGGTAACGTTAATGCGTAAATAGAGAGTAGGAAATAGTTAGAATAGGGTGTTTCCTACTTAGAAAATATCCGAGTTTTGGCTGGTTTTCTTTTATAAAAACCCCTTAAAAGAGAGTCTAATAAAGATTACAATGAACACGGTCTCGTTTTTTGGGGGGTTGTACATATTATTCTTGTGAAACAGGTGGTGGCAGGCGGAGGTGCAGTTGAATCAGCATTGTCGGTGTATTTGGAGCATCTAGCGACAACCTTAGGTTCTCGTGAACAATTGGCCATCGCGGAATTCGCTGATTCACTACTGATCATACCAAAGGTACGCCCGTATGGAATGTTTATATGATCCAGTCAGTCGGTAATATTGGTCCTCTTACATTACATTGTTGTCATATCATCAGGTGCTGGCAGTGAATGCTGCCAAAGACGCGACCGAGTTAGTTGCGAAACTAAGAGCATATCACCACACCGCACAAACAAAGTCTGATAAGAAGCACTACTCAAGGTAACCAACCAACCAACCATGTGATTTGTCTTGTTCTTTTTCTTTTGTCGAGATTTTTTTTTTTAAAGTTCAACAAAAAAAAATGCAGTATGGGACTGGACCTCATAAATGGAACCATTCGAAACAACTTGGAGGCGGGAGTCATCGAACCTGCGATGAGCAAAGTGAAAATCATTCAGGTCAAATTTCAGACAGCAGTCCGCTTTTTTACGTGTTTACTTTACATGACGACCACCTTTGTTTATATATAACGATTTGTTTCTCGGCAGTTCGCGACTGAAGCGGCCATAACCATTCTCCGAATAGACGACATGATCAAACTGGTCAAGGATGAGAGCCAGAATGACGAGTGAGCTGTTGTTTTTCTCCCAAGTTTTACGGATTTCAGGTTCTATCTTTCTCCCGCTCGTGTTGGTTTCCATCTCTATTTATACGTACGGCTACTCTGTCGGATTATTGATTTTCCATCCTCTATTGTTTTTTTTATATATAAATATAAATGGGTTGTGGTGGCCCCAATCATTACGGGGGGTTTTGGACATTAGCCGTGCTTCCGTCGCTGTCGCATTCTATGGACTTGTGTAAAAAAAAGGGGGTTGTGTAATGAAAATGGGCTCCACGGCCCATAATCACTGCACGACTGATTGATTTAAAATCGTTTTGTTTCCCTGTTTTGTCGTTGTGGCATATTAAATTTATTTGATCGTGACTTGGCTTATGTTTCATTCGTCCAATTTAAAAAAGCCCCATTCCATCATTTCGTCCACATCGCACACGGTGACTGGTTCTTAGAAATTTAAAAAAATTAGTGTCAAGTTCAAGAATAATTTTTCATTGTTTATAGGAATATATGTAGTACATTTCATCATATATATATGTATATATGTAGTACGTGACCCAACATGGAAAGCCATAGAAAAAAAGGGTGGGTACATGTGATAAGGTCATCATAATATATGTGTGTGTATATATATATATATGCATGTTATTCGTCGGAAAGATTATTCGTAAACACGAGGCATTTTTTTAAAACTAAAGGTAGTGTTAGGATGATGGTAAAGAAAAATATAAATAATAACGAGTGTCATTATGGGCACATGAGGCCGCACGTGTTCTTGCTGTTCACTTCGGGATCACCGTCCACTGTCGCCTCACGTGATTCGAGATGCCATTATCCCCAAAACACTTTAAAACACCAAACCCTAAACCATATTCTTACTGCCAATCCCGAATTGATAAAAAGTAAGAACACGTACAAGGTCGTGATTTGTCACGAAAACATAACCTTATACGAACAACGAAAGTCTCCGACTCAGAGAGAGGGACACCGCACGTCTCGTGCACTTCTTGTGTGTGAAATAATCTCTCACAAGAGACTAGTAAGAGTTCCTCACTTGACTGTGGGTCCCACCAACCACCGACATCTTCTTATTTTTTCGGCCTACTCCTATCCTTTTCCTGTTTATATTCCATTCGTATTTTTTTTAAAATCTGTTTATTTGTTTTTTAAAAAAAAAAAAAATGGCATACGTAGGCACGATCAAGAATAAGTAAGTAGACTGAACGAAAATGTGACCTTTGAACAATGAATTCTGACCGCACCAATTATGATATAAAGAAGAGTGAAGCTTCTGCGTGAGAGAGAGAGAGAGGATGACAGCTTGAAAATATATTGTCGGTAGTATAATAAAACTGTAACCATACTCTCTTTTTCAATTAGGGAAAAAAGGTCCCACGGTTTCAATTTCATATTCTTCTTTGAAAAAAAAAACTTTGGCTCCCTCTCTTTCCGTGCCATTGAATTGTCGAACGACACTATTTACTTCAAAAATGATATTCATATATATAACCACATTTAACTTATATATATAATACGTAATACATATATATATATATATATATATATATATGAAGTTTCTTTTGTAATACTACCTAATTGGTTACTTCTAATTACGTAAATCAAATAGTTCAAACCGCATTCAAAGGTAGGGCATTTCCCATTTTTATAGGAACTTCTGTACCAGAAACAATGGTATCTCCAATTATAGCCCCTCTCGTACGTAAAATATATCTCTTTTCACCATCTCCATAGTGTATGAGACAAATGTTAATACGTTTGTGAAACAAGGAAAATGTTGGCTGGACACGGCCCGTTTCCTTCTCTTTCTATAATATTATTTTATTCGAAGTCGGTTTACAGCTTTTTGTGCATATATGCAACTAAGAGCTGCAAATGCGGTGAGTGACAACATCCTTTACGTACCACAACAATATCTCTCCATTAAAAAAAACAGTATTTTTTTTTTCTTTCAAATTTCTCGATTCTATTCGGATTTTTTGTTACATATATATAACGAGGTTTGATTTTTATCGATAGTTATAATGCTATGAAATTATGCATCATAACATGGAAAACTATATGCATGATTGCATGCATTTGAGCAAACTCCTTTAAGGATATTGTATATCCATATCTTCATTGTTTTACCAGAACGTGAAGATCAGAATGGTCCTCACATGCAGCCACTTGTCTATTATAATAATAAATTAATAATAATAATAATAATAATTTCGTTTCCTTTATATAAATATATATGTTCGTTGATATTTTGCATTTATTAAATAAATGTACTTTGCTAATTTTAAATATCCCATGAGACCAATTCATTAAATCAATAAATTTTTAAGAATACATCTTAAGAATGAAATAGCCGCTAGTTTGAGTCATGTGAATTCTCTGAACATTATATGGTCCTCATACATGCATGCATACATACATACATACATACATACATACATGATGTGAGATGGACCCGCAGAGAAGAGATGGTACAGAAGCAGTGAAAGAGACAGGACACGATAAAGGTCAAATTGAAATGAAATCAGAGAGAGAAGTAAACTTCAGTCTATCCATTCCAACAATCACACTTTCCTTCTTCCCCCACTTCTCTTTCCTTTTATGCTTATTTCATTGTGACAATTAATCTGTGATCCATTCATTATATTGCTATATAGTTTTTTTATATCAAACATTTCCATTATCTTAATTGGATCGGCTAATTATGTTATATATTTTTCTTAAGTGGGTTTTTAACATCACGCGCACCTTATTTCTAGAGAATTTTGGTTCAATTCCAACACCAACGATATTTTCTTCTACTATATAACAAACGATATTTTATTATTGTTGAAAAATAATAAATTAATTTATACTATTTATTGGCTTTATTACAAAAGCAGTGGTTCATAGAACACAAGTACTAATGATTTCAAATATTATTGGAACCAAATAAATTTATAGAAGTGTCTTTGATCATAAATATTGAAACTATTTAAATTTTACAATCATACTGTGATACTATATTTAATATTTATCGTGTATTAAAGGTGAAGTACGCAATTTTAAAATAAAAAAATGAGAGAGAGAGAGAGAGGAAGGGTCAGTGGGTCAGTCACGGTGCATGGTCACTCTCTCTGCACGTTCTCTTGCTCGTCTCTTCCTTGGCTCTATCGTCACTCTCTCTCTCTCTCTCTCTCTCTCTCTCTGTATATATAATAGAGTGGAGGAGGAGAGAGAGGAAGTGAGTGTGAGTGTGTGAGTTATGGACGTCTATGGATTATCATCGCCGGAGATGATTCGAGTCGACGACCTTCTCGACTTCTCCGACATGAACGACGACATCTTCTCCTCCTCCACCGACGCCACCGCCTCTTCCTCCTCCTTTCCGCCGCATAATTCCTTCGCCCACAATTTCCCCTCCGCCTCCTCCTCTTCCCCTTTCCTCACCGATTTCACCCACGATCTCTGCGTTCCGGTACTCAATTTTTTTTTTTGTTTCCGGGTCTTGATGAGTCGATGATATATTTTGGTTTTTGGGTGCTCAAGGTTTTGTCCGTTTTCTGCAGAGTGACGATGCAGCTCAGCTCGAATGGCTGTCGCAGTTCGTCGACGACTCCTTCTCCGATTTTCCGGCGAACCCATTAGGAGAAGCCATGATTAACGTCAGACCCGACTCGTCATTTCCCGGGAAGCCACGGAGCACGCGATCTAGACCCACCGCCGGGACCTGGCGAGCGATGCCAGATTCCGAAGGCCGCGCCGCCGGAAGGGCTAAACCGATGAAGGAAGGAGGAGGAAGGAATATCTCCGGAGAAATAGCCGGAGGAGCGAGGCGGTGCACGCATTGCGCGTCGGAGAAGACGCCGCAGTGGAGGACGGGACCACTGGGTCCGAAGACGCTGTGCAACGCGTGTGGGGTCCGCTACAAGTCCGGTAGGCTCGTGCCGGAGTACAGACCGGCGGCAAGTCCAACGTTCGTGCTGACTCAGCACTCGAACTCTCACCGGAAAGTGATGGAGCTCCGGCGACAGAAGGAGGAGTTCACGAGACAACATCATCTTCAACTTCAGCAAACACCGTTTCAGCCGCAGTAGCAGCTTTGCGTTTGCGATTGGGGTGGAGGGTTTGGATCATGAGATTGATGACGTGTCGCGATAATCACGTGACCGAGGAGCTAATGTTAAACAGTAAAAACTCCTCGTTGATTAAATTAAAATTTTGGTTACCCTTTTCTCTCCCAACGTTATATCATCCAATTTGTTTTTTTACTCGAACGAGACAACGAAGTAGAGGGAGAAAAAAAGGCGGCATTTAATTTCCTTGTTAACTTTCATCAGTTTGCGTCAGTTATTTTGAAGCCTAACTCTCAACTACCTTTTGTAAAAGTTGCCGACCAATCAGCGTGACTTCACATTGATTTCGGCGCTCTCTCACATGGAAGCTGCTGACTTTTGTTTGTTTATATGATTCAACTCCTCCAATGGAAAGCTGCATTAACACATACGCGTCGTTCTCGTTATGTGAAACCCTACTACATCACATTAAGACCCTCATCTCATCTTCAATCTCAATGGTCATGACTTTATATGCATACGTATATATATATATATATAACAAAGTAGTAAAACCCCACAATGGAAATTCAACATCGGACCATGATTGAGTACTGCAACTCCTCTGGCAAAGCAGCAAGAAGAGCCCATGATTTTACAAGAACCCTAATTGGAACAAAACAGAAGATTCCATGAGTGACATGACATTCTTGTCTGGTCGTTTATTTCCCTCATAAGAAAGTGAAAACTTTGTTTCTCGTGTTCGAATATGTCAATCTGTGCGACCTTAAATCAGTACCGTCGAATCTGGGAATCAAAAAAAGCTAGACGTTTGGACTCAGAACCAGAACACGATCAAACAGGGATTCCATAGTTGCTGATCTTGTTCACTTCCTTGGTCAAAGCATTCCTTTCCTGTTTTGCTTCAGACGCCAGGTTTGATACCTGAGGTGAACAACCAAAAACTCAAATCAACGAAAGCTAAATAAAGCAATGATTAACCAGTTACAGGTTTATCGTCCAATGGAGAACCGAACCCCCCATTATTTTGAGCTCAAATAGTGTTTCTGAGTGGTTTGGTATCGATCTCGATGCAAACCCGGTTGTCCATTGTTTCCAGGTAAGTGGAGGTTGATAATAATGCCATCGAGTCAGTGTTATTGTAACAGATGCCAAGGTGCTGCCCTAATTCAAAGCTATAACCCCAAATAAGATATGCTACTTCGGTTTTGCTTTTCCATTTTAAATCCGAAACCTTCTACCGAAATCTGAACCTAGCATACGCTTTAGTTCAAATAGCCAAGGACGATGATGACTGCTGATCAGAAAGGTATTTCAACCAAGTATTAAAGATAGATTTGACAAACTCCCTTGGTATATTCCAGCACTAAGGTGAATCCAGGGCTCACATACTAAACCAAATGGTGGATAGTCAGATCAAAACCTCACGCATAAGTGCCATACTTAGACATCTCTGATAGCTAAAGCTGATTCAAGCATCTTGAACCAAAAGCTACACTCTAGGCATTACCGCCACAATTCATTCTGCCTATACTCTTAATTATATGGGGACAAAGAGAGAGAGAGAGAGAAGAATACTCACTTGCGAGCGGAATCGAGAAGCTTCTCTCCTGGGCAATTCTTTGAGCAAATCTTTCAAACCTGGTTATATAAAATGATAGGAGAATCAGATGAGAACTCATTCCTATATCAATGTTGCCTTTTCAAATGTTTTGTTTCAGTTCAGAAAACAAAGCATTTTAACAGAAGTGACATATAGTATACCAGCTGCTTGCTTTTCAGTTTTATAAGCTGAGTGGATTACACCTTGGATCTGCTTCCCTGCTTGTCTGCGCAAATATACGGACAGATTTAAACCGATAGGTTTTACATTCAGATATTCAAAATAAATCTGTTATTTGGTCTGGATTATAAACCTGAGTTTCATCCTTCCTCTGATCAACTCTTGTTCTGCTACAGTTGTACGTCTCTGTAACAGCCAAGCTCGAAAATGAATTCATTGAAACATAATCTAAGAACAGCTTCCAACAGGCTGCTATTACTGACAAGCAGTGACTAATAATGTGAGGTAATCTATCAAAACATGATTATGTTAAAACTTCATGAATAATAGCTCAGATATTGCATAAAATAAAGGTTTGCAGAAGCAAAAGGTGCAAAAGAAGAGTAATGTAAAAGGTAAGAAGTGTGTTCCAATGATCCATCCACACAGGCCAATCTTAAAGATTATAAGTACAGTGAATAGACAAAAGAAGGGTTACCTCCAACTTTTCACTTTCAGCTTTTAGGCGATCAATTGATTGTCGCAACTCTTTTACTTTAAGATCTGCCTGGGAAAGCAAAGCCTGAACCCAGAAAATGGTGTCACGAGAAACTTTAGCCAAAGACAGCAGTTTAAACATCCACAATTCTTATGAACAACGCCCGGTTGCTCACTCACCTCTTCGCTCGAAAAGATACGCAAAGTACTGTAGTATAAGAATCGCCTTGTCCCTGAAATCAAACAGTGCATTCCTTAGTTGAAATATACTTATAGAGTGAATAATATAATCACGGAACCAGAATGCATAAACAGAACGTCCAGGGAATGCATTAGGACAATACTTTTCAAGGAAAAAATCCCAACTCCAAAAGCAACACCGCCTGATATTAGCGGGTATGATGCAGCAACATTTACCCCCTCTGCGTACAAATTGGTAAACGAAATTGAGCAGCGGACAAACGAGAACCACCATGAACAAGGGCAGTCAAGGTAATCTATACAAGGCAAACAGAATAGCAGAATTGGACCTTTAACCTTCCCAAATAGCATATGCTCGTAGACCGTATACTCAGAAGCAATGTCCCGGAGAGAATCCTACATTCAATACCTCAATTTGATAAGAAGATAAATTAGGCATGCCCATGATTGAACAACATGCAATTTTGATTAAATCAATCAACGATTGCCGGAAAACCCAGGAAACAAACCAAGTGGTAACAAGGAATAGAAGATTCAGAAGATTACGAGTGTTTGATTAAAGTGAGCCGACGATGTTTCACGAATTTGGGACAAACGAGATCTGGAGGCCTGAATGGTGGACTCCACCGTCTCTGTGACGGTATTCTGGTAAATCAGCGCTTGTTGCAGTGTGTCATCGATCCATGAAGCCGCGTTTTCCACCGCCTTCGACGCAATCTTAGCACTTGGCAGCGGCGGCGGTGATGATTCCGGCGGATGCGGCGGCGTGTTTCCCGCCTCTGCGGGAGATTCTCCGGGGGTTGCCATAGAAGATCCCGGAAGCTGGAGGTCCTTCTTCGCGTGTGGAATCAAACTCTATGGAATCAGGACGGAAAACCCCGAAAGACGTACCCGGTCCCTTACCCGATTATAAACCCGAAATAATCGGGTTCCTTTCTTTTGTTTATTTACATCATAAGCCCCTGGTTTTAGATTTAGTTTGCAATTTTCCCCTCTACTATTCTTTCGATATTTAATACCCAAAATATTCTGTTTTAATCCCACAAGTCTAATACTACTAGTAGTAACAATGTATCATTCTTAACATCGTTCACAGTCAATTAAAAAAAAAATACAAAATCTTTGTAAAGTACCGAATTCTAGCCCAAATGGTAGATATTGATCCATGGGATTGAAAAGAATTACATCCAATATACAATTGAGGTCACGGATTCGAATCTTTTAAAGAACTAAAACAGGGTTTTCTTTTAGCAATTTTAGGGTTTTATTCATCTCAATTGGAGTAATGCCAAACCATTTGCAAAAAAAATAAAAGAAAGACAAACACAAAACTGTGGCTGCAGTGAAGAAGTGAAGAGAAGGGGGGAAAAGGAAAGAAGAAAGTTGTATAAAGAGGAGAGGATAAACATCATCAGTCATCAAGAAATTGCCATTGTGCCATGACAAAACCTCTCTCTAGTCTACCCTGTTTCGATTTCAACCCTCTCTCTTGACAAAGTAGAGCTTGCCCATGACATGGAGAACGGCCACGAAAGCGATGAAACCGATACTCATGACGAGGACGACGTTAGGGGAGATCTTAAGGCCGGGTGCATCGTCAGTGTAGAACTGAAGCATCGTTCCAGCTGCACCTCCACCAGCTCCAGCCCCGCTGCCGCTCGTCGTCCTCCTCCTCCTCATGCTTGCAGCTGCAGCCGCACTTCCTCTCGGGGGAGCTCCACCACCCGCCATTCCTTCTCTACTTCCGATTGGGATTCCTGCTATTACGGGGCAATTCAGATTTATAGAAGATAATAATAGATGAAAACTCTACCCGAAAACACTCCATAACAAGCCTTTTTCATATGTCATTAAGAGATAATCCTGAATGGAACAGAAAAATGAAAAAAGAACAATCACTTAAGGTAAAGAAAACTAAGATGTAGGAGAACACTAAAGCACATTATTAATTTACTTAATGATCTTACATCACACGATACAAATACAACAACTTTCACATCCAAAAACTTCTAAAACTATCATTATTCCAGGTGAATATATCACAGTCCATTGTAATCTACGGCGCAATTTGTATTCCTGCAGCATGATGCACATCTAACAAAACCTAATTCTGCATCAATTAGCTTTTTCGGAACGACTAGGTTCAACGTTCCATTGACTGAACTTTTTAAAATTCCGATTCAACTCTTAACTCATCAGCCTCGGCTATCTTTGAACCACACCCACTACAAGTCTCGAATCACAGCGAGCACATACATATTAAAACCCGTCGGCAGCGATCAACAGTCTAGATGCCGATGATCTATCCCCGAATGAACTCTGCAGATACAATTTAGCTGAATCGAACATGTTTCTCAGAAATCGTCTCAGATCTACGCCCTAACCTTACAAGGCCCTACGATCTAAAAATTTTCCTCGATCAGAGAACACCAAAGAGCGAAGAACCGGAAAAACACATGCATAGAGATCGATATCCAGAACAAATAACGAATCGGAGAAGAAAAAGAGCTCACCTTAGTCGATTTGGAAATTCAGATGGCGTAACGGAGAAATCGAGATTCAAGAGTTCAGGCTCACGAGTCAGAAGTCGCTCTATATATATTTGGTCAAACCCACGGTCCTTAGGAAAGGCCACGCATTGAAAACCAATTATATTGCGCCACATCGGCTATGATAGCAAAAGACCATGATAAGAAGTTGAAGCCCAACTGAAACCAATAAGGCCCAAAAGCCCAAATTAAAGGATGCTTAGCCCAATTTATTTATTTTTTTAAATTAAATGTTTAAATTTTATATTCCTTATTTTCTGTACAAAATCAAAATGTCCCTCCTAGCTTATTCAACAAAAAAGGGGAAAAAAACTGATTGGAAAAAAGGACAAAGAACATAAAGTCTATTGGACAATTGAATCCCGTAAACGATCAAAACCCCTTGTGTTATGTTCTTCAATATGATTTATATATAATATAGATAGCATTATAATGTTTGTTGATGATTAGATTAGGTAATATGACAGTATAACCTCATATAACCATGATCACAAATTCACAGACATATAAACATGCAAGTCTTTTTTTCCTTGGGGGGTCTAAGACTCTAAGCCCCACATCCAGATTTTTTCTTTCTCTTTGATTTTTTTTTTAGATTAATACTTTAGAAATAATTAAGCAGATGAGCCGACATGATTAGAAAACTAAACCGATCCCCATGCGTGAAAAGAAGCAGAGGGCAGCTTCCCGATGTCATTAATGGAGAGATCCAAGGGAAAGA